ATCTTCTGTTCTTTGTCCACCACCACTGTGTCCGGTTGCTTAGCAGCTGTTTGTCTGGAATCTGAAGGCCCACAGGATCTTAGCTCTGTTGTTCTCAAACACCTTCAGTGGTACAGTGCGTTTCATCAGGACTTGGGTTCCTCTAATCCATCCACAGATGTTCCTGTACACTGTCCCAGCTACTTGGTTCTGCCTCTCAGTGAACGCTGTCCCAGCCTGAATCCTACACCCTGATACTGTGTGCTGGACTGTGTCTCACTCACTCTTAGCATACAGCTTGATGTCATCCATGAAGAGGAGGTGGCTGATCTTTGCTTTACTATATATGCATGTAGTGTTGTCACGGTACCAACATGTATTTCGGTACTTTTTGGTACTTTTCCAAATAAAAAGAGAACACAAAAAATGTCATTATTTACTTTATTTTAATAGAAAATCTTAGAACTATGACATTATGCATCAGTAATTAAAATAAAATACCACAAAGACAGGCTTAAATTTTTTCCAGCGCTACTTTTGTGGAGAGTGAAGGGGGCTGGCGTCGCTTGCTTTGAGTGACTGTGGCTTTTTTTCATGGGTATATAAGTTGTTACCTGTCGTTCTCTGAACTCCTTGTGCAGGTCTGGCTGCTTTTCCTTCAAGTGTTTTGTCAAGTTGGAAGTGTTTCCACCCTTGGCCACATGTTTGTAACACTGTTTGCACAGTGGTGCATTAGTGTTAATGGCTTCACCGTGCTCATTTGTTTTCAAGCTGAAGTAATTCCATGTAGCACTTCGTGCACCTGGTTCATCTACGAGTTGCGGCGTGGTGGTGGTGGTTGCAGCAGCGCTCTCTCTCTCTCTCTCTCTCTCTCTCTCTCTCTCTGTCTACTCCTGCTCCGTTAACTTCTCCGCGCTGCTCACTTGGCTTGCTCACCTCGGCTTGCTCGCTTCGGCTCAAATTACAACGCGGTGATGTCACACGGCGACGTTAAAAAAAAAAGATAAAAGTACCGGTCTGATCCAAGCGCTGTATAGTACCATTTTAAATGCATCAGTACCCTGGTACCAATTTAGTACCGGTATACCACAACCCTATATGCATGTGGCAGCGGGATGTGGTTAGGGCTCCAACTCCGGGAACGACAGGGAGGAGTGGTTCCGCAGAATCAGGCGGAGAATTAATAAAGGACATTGTGAAAACCCCATTCTCTCCTCCTGTATTTTCCCGGAGTGGACCAAGTATTCCCACAGTGGCACCTGAACAGGGAAAATACGGGAGGAGAGAATGGGGTTTTCACAATGTCCTTTATTAATTCTCCGCCACGTCAGGCACTCACACATATACACAGGGGTCTCTCGACCCATACACGTCCACCTGATTTCGTCCTCGTCTGCTCCTCGTCAGAAGCCCAGCCTACTGCAAGAGACCAGAACCAGGTTACCAGCATGCTCTTATGATTGCCTGATTACCTGATTCTGCACAGCTGTCCGATCACAGGCTGAGCCACTCTTCTCTGTCGTCCAGCAGTTGGCGCCCTAACCACATCCCGCCGCCACAATGCATATGTGGACAACTAGTTAGAACCAACGCTGCGTCAGGATCAGGACAGACGCACATTAAAGGTCCGGTCGTCTTTTACAGTTAAAGTACAGCCCACTTGTGATAACTGTAACAGGCTATAACACTTTTTAAAGCACAAATCATCAGACTAGTGAAGATGCAAACTTCTGTAGTCACACAGTGATAAAAAAAATGGGTTAGGGTTGATGTATAAAAATGAAATTCTGTGTGTGTGTTTCTGTTGTTCTTCACACAAACTGAAAAAAATCACATTTATTTATTTATTAATCGATGATATCGGATCATTAATCCAGATTGGCCAGTCCTAGTTATACTATATATATATATATATATATATATATATATATATACTGTGTAGTATTGTGTGATACTGTATAATACTGTGTAATACTGTGTACAGGTACGTGGATGATGTCATCTCTCGGATCGGCAGGATGTTTCCTGATTTGACCATCGAGTTGTTCAGACCTAACGGGACGTCAGCTGTTCTTCTGGTACTGTCCTGTCTCACCTTCTTCACCTGCCTCACCTTCCTGACCTGTCTCACCTTCTTCACCTGCCTCACCTTCCTGACCTGTCTCACCTTCTTCACCTGCCTCACCTTCCTGACCTGTCTCACCTCACCTATCTATCTTTCAGGTGACCCTGGGGAAGGTGTTAAAAGCGATTGTTGTGATGCGTTCACTGTTCATTGACAGAACAGTCGTTCGAGGATTCAATGAGAATGTTTACAACGAGGATGGAAAGGTGAGAGGTCACTGGACAGGTAACATTTGATACCTGTTTGTCTCCATGGTAACCTGTCTTCCTGGCTGTCTCCATGTTAATGTGTCTGTTTTCCCTCTGCAGCTGGACATCTGGTCCAAGTCTCAGTACCAAGTGTTCCAGAAGGTAAGATTCAACTGCACTCACCTGAAAAACAAACCTTTGCTGAGTCACCATTTCCTGATTGGCTGTGGTGTTGCTAGGTAACTGACCACGCCACAACTGCCCTGCTGCATTATCAGTTGCCCCAGATGCCCGATGTCGTGGTGCGTTCCTTCATGGTGAGAAACTGAAACCTCCAACAACTTCTACTTTTCTGTCACATATCTGTCTCTAACTTGTCTGTCTGTCACTCATCTATTTGTCTCGGTCTCCTGTCTCTCTCTCTGACATCTCTGTATCTGACCTGTCTGTCTCACACTCAGACCTGGCTGCGAAGCTACATTAAGCTATTCCAGTCGCCGTGTCAGCGTTGTGGTCGTTTCCTGCAGGATGGACTTCCTCCGACGTGGCGTGACTTTCGGACCCTGGAGGCATTTCACGACACGTGTCGCATGTAAACAAGCATGTGACATTTCTTTTTTAATTTTAAATAAAGTTTCATTTTTTACAGACATGTCAAAAAAATATTTTAATTAAGTTTATCAGACAAATATCAGACGACACTTCACTGATTGGTTTTGATAACTAGTAATATGCTGCTCGATTGAGAGCAGAACAAAGAAGGGAGGTCCATACAGCTAACATGTAAATAAACAATGATTAAAGCATAGTAGGTTTGATCTGTAATCAGTAGTGATGTGTAGGTGTTGTGTAACTGCAGGGTGAGAGTTAACTTTAACTATCCATAACCAAAACTAAACAAGAAAAACTAAACCCAAAACCAAGTGGAGGGAGAGAGAGGAAGCCATCTTGAAACTCCCAGCAGGTGAGGCCAATTCGTCAACAAGGAGGCAGGAGCCAGGCAACCAGAGCCTCTGAAGGAAAAACAGGCAGGGCAGAGCCAGGACTCTCATATGGCCAGAGGCCATCACACTAGTAGCATTGGTAGTAGTTAGTCATGGGTGGCTCAGGAGGTAGAACAAATTGTCCACTTACCCGAAAGTCCGCAGTTTGATCCCTGTTCTCCCCCATACCGATGTGTCCTTGGGCAGGATACTGACAGACTGACGGCGAGTGAGTGATAGAGTAAGTTCTGCACATAGATTCATTAAGAATAGAAAATATCCAGATAAGATAATTTTATCTTATAAATACAGACTATTTAATAATCAAACCATCAAGTAGCAGTATAACATTAGTTATGGTAACTAGTCTCTGACATCAGAGCGGCACCATCATGTGATGACATCAAACTCTCATATTAATGATGGATGGAAGACACTTGTCACCGTTGACCATGTTTGTTTTCTAGCTTTTCCGTCCCTGAATTTAAAGAGTTTTATCTTGGTGCACAGTGAAATGCATCTTGGGAATTCAATCAATTAAATTTTACTAAGATGCAACATCATCTGATCTCCACTTTAAACAAAAGTAAAACTACCAAACCACCTTTAACAGGAAAACGTAGCAACCTCAGAAGATCCACAGAAACACTGTCCTTGAGATCCCTGCTGCAGACAAGGTTTTTATATCCTGTTAATTTTAATACGTTTTTTTGTCTGTGAAACCACAGATGAAATGTTTATAAAGACGTGCAGGATGCAGGCAGTACAACACCATCTTTACGCCCAGGATCCACTTCCCATGATGCATCTGTAGCTGAACATTTTATCATTGTTGATCATTGATCAAAATGTCAGAATAAAGCACAATGTTAGAGTTGACCCTCATATCATGATTGATAAAATATTCAATAACATTAGGAATGTTAACGATGGTTGAGTTTTTAATGAAGTCTGTTTCCTGCAGAGTCTGAAGCTCCGGAGACCAATAATCACTGACCTTTATCAATTATTGATCAAAGACAAACGTCTGACCACAGAACATTATCATACAAATCAAACATCACTTCATCATTAATATTAACATTCAGCTGATTAATGACCTCTGACCTTTACCAGTCAGACAACCTGCTGTTTGATGATTGGACCGCTGAGTGTTTCCTACAGGAACCTTAAAAGGTCAAATATCATTTGAAATAATACAACTTTGTTTTTTTATTCTCACTGCTGTAAATATTTAATATAAATATCACAGCTCTTTATT